ATAGATAGATAGATAGATAGATAGATAGATAGATAGATAGATAGATTGATTGATTGATTGATTGATTGATTGATTGATTGAATTCAGTTTATTTATATAGCGCTAAATCACAACAAAGTTGTCTCAGGGCACTTTACAGAAACATTCACATACATAAAAACCCAGTTAGTAAAGTTCTCTATAAGGAATCCAGCAGACAAGTTGAATCTTGGCTTCGTTGCAGTCTCCCATCCTGAGCAAGCACAGTGGCAACAGTGGAAAGAAAAAACTCCCTTTTTAAAGGAAGAAACCTCCAGCAGAACCAGGCTCAGGACAAGCGGCCATCTGCTTCAACCAGCTTGGTTTGAGAGAAACAGGAAGGAGAGACAAACGAACACAGATGACAGGTCCAGATATAGGTGCAGGTGTACGTGAAAGACAAAAACACGTCAAGGATAGAAAAATAATTACAAATAAAAAACAGGTTGAGCAGAGTAAGTAAAGACAGTAGTAGAGTGAAGAAATGTGGTCAGTTTGTCCTCCAGCAGTCTAAGCCTATAGCAGCATAACTAAAGCCCCCATTACACTCCCGCGTACGCCTGTTCACGCGTACGTACGCCTGTTCACGCGTACGTACGCCTGTTCACGCGTACGTACGCCTGTTCACGCGTACGTACGCCTGTTCACGTGTACGTACGCCTGTTCACGCGTACGTACGCGTGTATGGTACGCAGAGGGTTCAGACATGATACTCCAGCGTACACCCTGAGCAGCTGCAGAGCAGCTCCACAGACAAGGGGCGTTTACCTTCGGGACAAATTGAGGTCGCCGATTGGTCATTTGCTGACACGCCTACTGGATTGATTGACAGGTTGGGGAGAGAGAGAAAAAAAACAAGCGCTGGCAGCCTCAGCTGCAGCGGTGTTCTGTGTTTATAGGTTGTTAATGAAAAGATCTAAAAAAAAAAAAAAAACAGGGAGCGCTGGCTCTACAGTCCACACATCAGACCAGCCCACCAGGAAATCTCCAGACCATCCCGCAGCCACGCTGGACCTGAGTTTAATTCGCTCGTGACAAATTCCTTCATTTCTCACCATTTTAGTCATGGCATCAACAGAGGAGGAAGAGATCTCTTGCCTCTTGGCAAAAAAACAAAAGAAAAGGCCAGATCAGGGATGAAGAAGGGGAAGTTAATACATTGGTGTCACATACAAAACAGTCTGTTGCCAGGCAGTTTATTGTGCGACACCGCGTACGCGTATGCGGTCGTAAAAATTGAGCTTTGCACGGACATGCCCTGGGGGGTACGCTCGTACCTCTGTGTACGTACGTGCATACCTCCGCGTATGGATGTACGCGGGAGTATACTGGGGGCTTAAGCCTATAGCAGCATAACTAAGGGACAGCTCAGGAAACCCAAGCCGACCCTAACTATAGGATTTAGCAAAAAGGAAAGTCTTAAGCCTAGTTTTAAAACTGGACAATGTGTCAGCCTCATGGACAGAGATTGGAAGTTGGTTCCACAAGAGAGGAGCCTGATAACTGAAAGATCTTCCTCCCATTCTGTTTTTGGAAACTCTAGGAACCACAAGTAAACCTGCAGTCTGAGCAAAGTGCTCTGTTAGGAAAATATGGACCAATAAGATCTGTAATATAAGATGGAGCTAGGTTGTTGAGAGCTTTGTAGGTTAGAAGTAAGATTTTGAATTATATTCTGGACTTGACAGGGAGCCAATGGAGAGAAACTAAAACTGGAGAAATATGATCTCTCCTACTAACTCCAGTTAAGACTCTGGCAGCAGCATTTTGGATCAACTGAAGACGTTTTAAAGAAGTATTTGGACACCCAGATAATAAACCATTGCAATAGTCCAGTCTAGATGTGACAAATGCATGGACCAGTTTTTCTGCATCATTTTTAGAAAAGATGTTTCTAATTTTAGTGATGTTACGCAGGTGGAAGAAGGCGGTTCTAGTAATGTTTTTAATGTGGGGGATAAAAGACACGTCCTGATCAAAAATAACACCAAGATTTTTAACATTAGAGCTGGAGGACAGATTAACGCCATCTAAGGGGGACGGAAGACTGAAAAATTCATCCCTAAGGTGCTCAGGTCCAAAAACAAAAACCTCAATCTTGTCTGAGTTCAAAAGAAGAGCATTTAGAGTCATCCAGGTATATATACTGTATACGTAACCTTCTGTGCACAGGCTGAAGCTTTTTCTGCACCTGTGGGCTGCACACAGGTGCAGCAGGTGTTAAATAATTTAAAATAATTAATTTTAAATTAAAATCCCATTCCAGTCATTCAGCTCATCCATCAATCAGCCAGTTGTGTGTCAAGTCCAAGCTTACTTTAAAAACCATGATAGAGCGAGCCCGCAATAAACGAACCGCAAAGTAATGAGGGACTACTGTATTTTAAAGTTTAAAGCTTCATGTTAGCAGCTTCAGCCTCCAGCTGCCACCAGAGGGGGCTGCAGCCCCAGCAGCAACACCTTTCTTCTACTATCGAGTTTGAGTGAATTTATGCAAATTTTCTAGAACGTTAATTATTATGTGGAGACTTTCATACTACAACTGTATGACTGTATGAAGTAAATATATTAATAATGTTAATACTCTTTCTCATCATGATCCAGGGTCGTCCCATCACTCCCGTCTACGCCATGGCTCACAACGTACAGCGCATCCCAGCCGCCGGCAGCCTATATGGAGCCGGGTACGTCCCCATCGCCAACTACGCTGCCAACACGGCCGCTCTGGCTGCTCTGCAGAAAAACGCAGCCGTGGCCGCGGCGTACGGAGGTTACGCTGGCTACGCGGTGCCACAGGCCTTCCCCGCCGCGGCCTTCCAGCTGCCCCTCCATGACATCTACCAGACATACTGATTCAGAAGCTCGCAGCGAGTCGCCCACTGACTGAACCTCAGCGCCGTCTGTTCCTTCGCACAGATGCGTCTCCCACACACGAGCTCTAAATGAAATCGTAGCGAATGTTAAGTCCAGACAAACCAACATGGCGCCTTCTTTCTGCCGCTGGCGTCCTCTGTAGATCCTGGACCGGCTCAGTTAGACAGCGTCACCGTTTCCCTTTCAATATTGTCACCGCCAATTTGTTGCTATAGCAACGGACACATTTAAGGTACTTTTAAGTATTTATGAAGAGCAGACTCATAGTTAAGGCTTTATTCTTTGTTTTTTTTTTTTGTTTTTTTATTGTTTGGCGATATTAGTTCACTTTACACTGTCCGAGGTGTAAAAACTAAGAGAAGTACATTAAATGAAGAAAAAGTAAACAGCAACTACTGATAAAGAGGACGCCTCCGTCTGTGGATATACTCTGGGTTTGTTTGTTTTTCTTTTGATCATTCATACATAGTGTAGTTTTACATGCTGTCAGTCCACGCTGGTTGAATATGATCGCTTTGTTCGGTACTGTTTTTTCCCTTAGGTTTTATTTTATGTGTGTTTTGGTGTTTTAAATGAAGGTTTTAGGTGTGTGTGTCTCATATCCTGGTTTTACATTGATGGATTATCTAGAGAGCAAAAACAGGAAAGAAAAAACTGGAAATCTTTTTAGCCAACAAGCCACTGAGTACATCCTGGTGCACAGAGATGTTTCCCCTCTGTAGAAATTGTGCCCATCGGGGACTAAGACTGAATTTTTTTTTTTAGGTTGTGTATATTTGTATCGTTGTTTTTTTAACTGCTTGACTCTTAAGGTGAACAAATAGAGAAAGTAGAGAGGTCTTTCTTTAGGGGCGCTCCATCGCTTGAACAGCTCCTGCATTTCCCAACTTAAAAGTCTAACACACTCCAGTTCGATGAATCTTTGTGCCTTACTCCATTTGATATATGCAACTTCCAGCTGTGCCTTTTACAACGAAACAAGTCTGTGTGGTTAACAAGAAGAGCAGACACACATCTGTCTGCAATGCCCGAGTCTTTTCCATTGGTGTTTGTATGAAACCATATTTTTGTTCTTACTGTATCGTGGTGAGTCAGAAGTGGCAGGTCCCAGCTAACACTCTTGTTTTTTTATTCCTCATCTCCAAACTGTGCTCGACTGACGTACACTTAAACATATTTATGACTGGCTAAAGAGCCTCTTTCAGATGAAGAAATATTCATATAACCTCATGGGAGGCTTCTCTTATCGTTGTTTTTTTATGCAAGAATATTTTTTGTCTCGATCAGACGTAGCAGAAGAGAAGTCCGCCGAGTCTTTGACTTGGCACTTGTAAAACTCTGCAGCGTGTTGATGGATGTGTAAAACTGGAGCAAGTAGCCATACTGTGTGCTTTCTGCAGAGAAACCCTTAAAAGGAGAGTTCAGATTGTTTTAAAGTGGAGCTCTGTGGAGTTATCATCGGTAGTCAGTATCTTACCTGCAGTAAATAGCTTTCTGGGTGACTTCAGTTGGAATGAAAACATAATATTATGTGTTTTGTTGTGTTTGGAAGTCAGACTTTTGGAGTTTTGAGTTGAAGACTTTAACTAGAACTTCAACTTTAAGGTAGAGGTCCCTGACAAAGTCAATATGGCTGCCTTGAACATCAGAAGTGACAATAATGGCAATTAATTTTTTAGCATACTTTACAACTTCTATTAGAAAATGTTGCTACTGTATTAAACTACAGAAAATCACATTTGTATTGACTTTTAATTATATTAATAGCTAGCCCGGGTTCTTAGCGAACCACAACAAGACAGACTCAATGTTCTGTGTACACAACCATTGACTTCTTTGTGACTAATGATCTATTTTAAAGTGACGGCTGCGTAACAGCTGTGACATTTTTGAGACGGAGGTGGTTTTAAGACGACAGCATCCCCATTTAAAACTGAACCCAGTCTAACACACTGTTAGCCCGTCAACACTGAGAAAGCTTACGCCCAAATCCAAACTAATAGTGTTCTGAGAATTTCTACAGCAGGTAAGATATTGATTAGTCATAACAGCTCCACACAACCCCACTTCAAATCTTCAATCCTTTAAATCCCTGCTGCTGATCAGAAAGCCGCTCTCAGTAACAATTACAAAAGTATGAAAGCTTTTTTAACGCCATGTAAGAGAATGAAGAAATAATAATTCATTGCTCCGAGAGTTTTAAAGAGAATGGGTTTTTATCTCACTCTGTTGTACCTTTTTCTCACAAATATAACTGGAACTTATGTAGAGAGCAAACTGCTGTTAACTGCTTTTATTGTGATGACAGAAAAGTCTGGATATATATTTAATATATGCATTGCATTTGTTATGTATGAAGTGAAAAGAAAAGGTATAATATATTCAAGAACATATTTCTTTTCTTATTTACATCTTGTTTAGGGATGAAACTCAAAGTAACAAATGTAGAAAAGCGTGTTTTTTCCTTTGCCTTTGTATTATTTTTTATTTTTTATTTTGCCAAAGTGTTCAGTAGTTTTTAGTCGTTAACATTTACTATTTTGTTATCAGTAACAAATCAGTACTTGGTGTTACGAGGACACGTTGAACCCTCGTGTTCGGCTACATATTTGCAGTTGTAGCAGGAGTTTGAGACGAGTCGTTGGGGTGTTGCAGCCCCGGCGCTCTGAGCTGGAGGTGTCGCCGCGCTACGTGTCGCTTTAAAATGTTAAAAAAAGAAAAGTCTGAAAGCTCCTTCGACTTGGTTTTGCCTTCCACTCTGCTTTGCTTTCTTTTACTTGCATTTCTTCCACACCACGGCAGCAGAGGACGAACACTTTGTGTTGATGGAGTGGAGGTGTCGCCGTGTAAACTCTTCCACGTTTGTGCCTTATCGCCGAGGTGTTCTTTGTTAAAGCTTTGTAGACCGATGCGAACTGTTTTCTACCTAAAGGTTTGTCCAATAAAGCAACCTTGTTCTGCATTGTTATATTTATAGAGAGCAAATAAAGTGTTTTTGAAAGAATACAGCGCTGTTGTCAGTCATTTGAGTTACGATTCTGTTTAAAGGAAATGTCCTGTATCTTGTTGCACAGCTTTCAAGGTTCAAGGCGACTTTATTGTCATTCGCATCACATGTGGTACATGAGGTGGAATTAAATTACAGTATGTACACAAGGTCCCAGTTTCACCCAAAAATAACAAAAATATAAAGGTTAAAAAGAAACAGTATACAAGGATCTAAGATATACACTAAACAATAATAATATAATATGGTGTATTAAACAGCAGCCTGAACATGAGTCAGTTGTGAGCAGATGAGTTGCATTCGAGCGTAAAAAATCCGATCCGGCCTCAGCCCGTAGCCGTTTTTCAAGAACCCGACCCGACCAGATCATTTAACAGTAATTACAGGCCCGAACCAGAAAAAAAGCCCAATTTTTTTTAAATTAAGCTTTTACTGCTTTTGTAAACAAATCAGTTTGACATATTTTAAAAATGTAGTTCAAAGAAAGGAAGATATAAGATTTCTTGTTTCACCAAATGGATATTAAAATAACGAATAGTCTAAAATTCAACTGTAAAGAAAGGCTATTATGCAGATAAACAAAAATATTTTTAGAGCAAAATTATTTGGAAAAACATAGAACAAGGATGTTTTAATTGAACGCGCTGCTCGCTTCAGCTTTTGTAGCAGCTGCTACTTCCTTCACCATAAATGACAGCAGGTGCGGAGACGCGCGGCCGGTGATCAGCTGATCCATCTGAAGCTAAAGCTTAAGACTTTTTTTAACCTATTTCCACATGTGTCATAAGAGGAGCAAAGCCGCGTGGGCGGGGCCATGCATAAATGCTGTATAATGCACCAGCGCTATTCTTTTTCCACAGTCTGATTAACATCTGCACTCTATTTTATTTCTGTTCTCTTCCTCTCAACATAGTAAACTTACTGCCTCCTCCTCAACAAGTAGCACAATTTTATATTGTGCATTGTTATTTAGTTGTCTTTGTGCTGTATGATTTGTAAAACCGCATCAAAATCCCGACACCGACCCAGCCTGCCCATCAAGAGCATTATTATGATCCGAACCGGCCCGAATTTTGTGTTGGGCCAAGCCTGGGCACAGACAGGCCACCTCTAGTATGAATACAGTAGCATGGATAAACAGCTTTATGATAAAACGTGCAAATTTTCCATCAAAATGTGCAGCTTGATACAGAACATTTTGGCCACCTTGAATAGATTAATGACACGTGAAACAACGTAGACAAAACTAGTAAAAAAGAAAAATAGACAATCATTAAGATTTTGCCAAAGCTGGTTAAAAGCCCAGTCTTCTTTGGAGCTCTTTAACTCAGGCGTACTGTAAAGCAGAACCATGAGTCAAAGTTTAAACTTACACGTTTGAATTGGCATTTTGATATATTTTATGGTTTTTACACAGCCATACTTTAGATTTCATCATTTTTACAACACATGGTGTCCACAAATTTAAAACCCTTTACAAACAAATATTATTTGTACTCCTGCAACTTATTTTGGGTACAAATACAAAGATTTTTGTCTTGTTCACTCTGTCTTTCACAGCTATTGCTCATATTATTTCACTCAAACCCCCCAAGAATACGACACGCCAAGCTTCCACAGACTGCACGTTTAGTTTAGCTCAAAATATTCTCTTTAAAATCTGGAAATGGAGGGTCTTTTGCCTTGTCATATTTCCTTCATAAAACACTGCAGAAACATTAAACTTCACATGTACGACCTGTAGCCCCTTCAGCCAACCACAGTTCAAGAATTAGTAGGGTATGAGTTGTAGTTTTTACACAGTGACTGTTTGTTTGAGGCTTTATTTTCAGTCTGTTTTCTTCTGTCTGCCTCTCTTAAGAGTGAGTGACAGACACAGGTGTGTCGTCACCATGGTAACGCTGCGGCAGCAGCTTCAACTTTTATTTTCGTCTTGGGCCTTTTTACACATCTTATACAGTTTGTACATCAAAATGTAGGCAATGTTTTTAGATGAGTATAAAAATTATGTTAGTATTTTAGGCAGTAGCTGCATTGAAGCTGCTCAAAACTTTGTCTATGTTTTATTTTATCTAGTTTTCACAACACCATAATGTTTATATCTGTTTACCTTAGTTTGAGATTATCAGAACAATAGAAAAGGTCTAAAAGAGGAGAATGAGCACAGAGTGTGCAATGTTTCATAAACTGCACTGTGGCATGAAAACTCTACTTCTACTCTAATCTACTTCCTCAGACGGCTGAGACGAGCTGGTCTGGGAAGCTCAGTCCTCACCTCCTTCTACAGGTGTGCTGTGGAGAGCATCCTGTGCTCCAGCATCAACGTGTGGCATGGAGGCTGCACAGCTACAGAAAGAAAAGCTTTGCAGAGAGTGGTGGAGGCTGCACAGAAAACTGTTGGAGTCAGTCTCCCCACCATCACAGACATCTACACCTCCAGATGTAGGAAGAGGGCCACCTGCATCATGAAGGACCCCACTCACCCAGCACACACACTTTTTTGCCCCGCTCCCCTCAGGAAGGAGGTTGAGGAGCATTAAGTGCAGAACCACTAGACTGAGGAACAGCTTCTACCCTGAGGCTGTTAGACTCATGGATCTGTAACCAGGATAATCACTGTGAAGAATCACATCATGTTGCTGCTGATCTGTTTCATGTTGCTGCTGATCTGTTTCCTGTTGCTGTGTTCA